AATCCATCTCCTTGAGGGTCTTCCTCTTTTTCACTGACCCTCTACTTTACCAAGCATGGTGTCCTTCTCCAGATAATGGTCCCTCCTGATAACATGTCCGAAGTATGTGAGATGAAGTCTCCCCATCGTTGCTTTTAAGGAGCATTCTGGCTGTACTTCTTCCAGGACAGATTTGTTCATTCTTCTGGAAGTCCATGGTATATTCAATATTCTTTGTCAACACCGTAATGCAAAGATGTCAATTCTTCTTCAGGTTTCCCTATTTGGGAGTAATTTGTCCAACATGGAGGGATGAGGAAGAATGTGAGGATGAGGAGGGGGAAGCAGAAACAGAAAAAAGGTTGTCTTAGTCATCTAGTGCTGCTATAACAGAAATACCACAAGTGGGTGGCTCTAACAAACAAATTTATTTTCTCACAGTTTAGGAGGGCACCAACTCCTGGGGAAGTCTTTCTGTCTCTGTTGGCTCTGGGCGAAGGCACTTGTCTCTTTTCAGCTTTGGTTCCTTGGAGATCTCCTGCAGTGTACCATCTGTCTTCCCCACCTCCCTGCATGCTTTCTTCTGTGCCTAATCGATTCCTTTTATATCTCAAATGTGATTGGCTTAAAACACACCCTGGTGGAGCACTGGTTAAAAGCTCAGCTGCTAACCAAATGTTGGCAGTTCGAATCCACCAGCTGCTCCTTGGAAGCCCTATGGGACAGTTCTACTCTGTCCTATAGTGTTGCTATGAGTCAGAATTGACTCTACGGCAATGGGTTTGGTTTTGGTTGAGTACACTGATATGGCCTCATTGACATAACAAAGAAAATCCTGTTCCCAAATGCCATCACATCCACAGGTCTAGGGGTTAGGATTTACAACACATATTTTTGGGGACACAATTTCAATCCATAACATCTGGTATAGTGTTGTACTCAGTCTCTTTTTTTGTTCTCTCCACTTTAACAAAGACCCCCTTCTAGGAGATTAAGAAAAAACCCAAAAACCAAACTCGTTGCCACTGAGCCGATTCCAACTTATAGCGACCCTAATAGGGTAGAGTAGAATTGCCCCTTGGGTTTCCAGGGAGAGGCTGGTGGATTCGAACTGCTGTTCTTTTGGTTAGCAGCCAAGTCCTTAACCACTGCACCACCAGGGCTCCAGAACGTTAAGAGGGGAAGAGGAATCCCAGCTACTACAGGCTTAGAAGACAGAGTGCTCTAGAACTGGGTATCCACCAACCACTAGTCAGTAGCCACACGTGGCTATTTAAATTT